GATCCACATCCTTGAGGATCTCGTCCACCTCGCGGTAGTTGAGCTGCTGCCCCAGCAGCTTGCGCATGGCCTCCCGCAGCTCCGCCATGCTGATCTGCCCGTCCCCGTTGGTGTCGAACTGCAGCACAGGGCCCGGTGCCACCGCTGCCCTCGGCATGCCAGCTGCCCCCCCCCCCCCCCCCCCCCCCCCCCCCCCCCCCCCCCCCCCGCCCCTCGCCTCACCGCACCTCACGGAAGGCGTCACGCAGCTCCTTGATCCCAATCATATCCGCTGTCTCTGCCAGCATCTTGGGGCCCATCAGCTCCACGAAATCATCAAAATCCACCTTGCCCCCAGCTGTGGTGGGAGGGGGGATGTCAGGCGGGGTGCCAGAGGTGGGCAGGGGTCGCACTCTGTGCCCCTCCCCCCCACGTACTGATCTGCTGGGACAGCTCGATGAGCTCCATCTCCGTGGGCATGTAGCCCATGGTCCGCATGCACTCGCCCAGGTCCTTGTAGCTGATGTAGCCGTCGTGGTCCTTGTCGAACTCCTGGAACGCCTGCTTCAGCTCTGGGGACATCACAGTGTCACCGCTGGCCGCCTGGCACCGCCACTTGCCCCCCCCACCCCGGGGCGGGAAGCCCTCCCCAGCAACTTACCTTCGATCTCCTCAGGCCGCAGCTCCCGGTCCTGGGGGAGAGAAAGCGGGAAGAGCCGAAGGAGGGGTCCTACTCCCAGGGATCCCGCAGGGATCCTGCCCTTACCCCCCCAAGGGGTGCGGGCCGCATGGCGAGGGGACAGGCACGTACCCGCTGGGTGATGGCGATGCTCTGCCGCAGGAAGATGCAGGCCGGCCCCACCAGCCCCTGCAGCACCGAGTATCCCTGCAGAGTGGGGGTCTGCGCCGGGTCCAGTGCATCCTCCGGGTCCCCTCCACCAGAGCCCGGGACGCCAGAGCGTGGCTTCCCGTCCTGCGGGCACAGCAGGCGTCAGTGGCGCGGGGGGACCGCGCTGGGACTCCCCCATCCCCCTGCTGCTGCCCCCACGGGCCGGCCAGGCCCGGCCGTACCTTGGGGAGCCGCCGCTCAGGGGTCTTGGTGCAGTTGCCCATGGCTGGGGGCTGCCCCCGCGCCGCAGGACATGCCTGGCCCGGGGGGGCCGGCTGGCGCAGACCGCGGGGCTGCCACCGGGGATTTGAGGTTTTTATGGAATATCTGGGGATATGCAGGGCAGGCGAGGGGGGGGGGGCGCCGCGCCCGCGCGCATAATCCTCCGGATTATTCCCCGCTCGGCCGCCCAGCTCCAGATGTGGGGAGCGGCCCAGCTGTTTCCCGGTCCCGCAGCCTCCCCGCGGGGGCACGCGGGGTCCCCGGTGCCCGCCGTGCCCCGGTCCTGTCCCCGCCGCCGGTTACCTGCCCGAGAGCGGGGGGCGGCCGGGGCCCCGGCTCCTCGGCGGCCCGCTGCCGCTCCGAGGGGGACGCAGCGCTACGGCTCCAGCGCCCCCGGCTCCCCGCGGGGCCGGGACCCCCGAGTCTCAGGGCCGGGCGGGATCGGCGGCCACCCCTCCTGCCGAGCCCATGAGGCCGGGGACCGGCCCGGAAGGCGGGGGGCGCGGGGCTGCCGGTGCCGCGCCTCTGCGACCCGCGAAAGAGGAAGAACATCCCGCCTGCTCCCTGCTCCTTCTCCCCACCGCGGGAGCCTGGCAGGGGGGGAAACCAGATCCCTCCGAACCGGCGCTCGCCCCTCGCAGGGACGAGGCCAGCGCTGTCCCGGGGCCCCGCCGCGTCGCCCAGGAGACCGGGTGCAGCGCGACGACCCCCCGGGGCGCGGGACGGGGGGAGTGGGGCTCCCGGGGGGACTCCGGGGGGGGTCCTGGGGGGTCTCCGGTTTCAGCGCCCGAAACCCGACCCGACACCGGGCGCGGGGCACGTGGTGGTGCGCGCCGTCCTGGCCACGCCCCCCCCCCCCCCGGGGGCCCCCCCCCCCCCCCCCCCCCCCCCCCCCCCCCCCCCCCCCCCCCCCCCCCCCCCCCCCCCCCCCCCCCCCCCCCCCCCCCCCCCCCGTGACCTCTCCCTAATGTCACCCGACGTGCTGCCCGGGATGACACGCCCCCTGTTTTTTTGACCACGCCTCCTTATTTACGACCACGCCCCCGGGCCGCTAACCGCGCCCCCGCTCCCGTGCCAATCATTGACGTCACTGTCGCGCCGCCGGCGCTGCCCGTGACGTCGCCGCGGGGGCGCCTGAAGGTGACGGTGGTCGGTCCCGGTGCCGATCCCGGTGCCGGTCCCGATCTCGGTGCCGTCCCGCCATGGCCGCCCGGCAGCTGCTGGCGCTGCGGCGCCTGCCCGCCGCCTCCTTCTCGGTGAGCGGGGAGCTCCAGGGCCGTCCGGGCTGGGTCCCGGTTGCTCCCGGTGCTGATCCCGCGTATCCCCGCAGACGGCGCCCAAGAAGACGCAGTTCGGGTCGCTGCGGGATGAGGACCGGATCTTCACCAACCTCTACGGGCGGCACGACTGGAGGTGAGCGGGCCCCGGGGGCGGCGGGCGCGGGCTCGTCGCCCCGCTGCCGGTGCCATGGTGCGCGGTGCCCGCAGGCTGCAGGGCGCCCTGCGCCGCGGAGACTGGTACAAGACCAAGGAGATCCTGCTCAAGGGCGTGGACTGGATCCTCGGCGAGATCAAGACCTCGGGGCTGCGGGGCCGCGGCGGCGCCGGGTTCCCCACCGGCCTCAAGTGGAGCTTCATGAACAAGCCCCCGGACGGCAGGTGAGAGGCGGGGGCCCGGGGCGGCGTCGGGAGCCCCTCGTGGCACCGGTCCCGGAGCTTTACCTGCCCCTAGGCCCAAGTACCTGGTGGTGAACGCAGACGAGGGTGAGCCGGGCACCTGCAAGGACCGGGAGATCATGCGGCACGACCCACACAAGCTGCTGGAGGGCTGCCTGGTGGCGGGGCGGGCCATGGGCGCCCGGGCCGCCTACATCTACATCCGGGGCGAGTTCTACAACGAGGCCTCCAACCTGCAGGTGAGGGGAGTGCCCCAAAAACACCCCCCCCAGCGCCCTGGCACCAGCGCAGGGGGTCCCTGCTCACCTGTTTCCCCCCCTGCAGGTGGCCATCCGTGAGGCGTACGAGGCCGGGCTGCTGGGAGCCGATGCCTGCGGGTCGGGATACGCCTTCGACGTGTTCGTGGTACGCGGGGCCGGCGCCTACATCTGCGGGGAGGAGACGGCGCTCATCGAGTCCATCGAGGGCAAGCAGGGCAAGCCCCGCCTCAAGCCGCCCTTCCCCGCGGACGTGGGTACGGCCCCAGAGCTCCATCCCTAATTCTCGGCTGCCATCCCAAACCAGGTGTCCCCGGGGGTGCCAACACCGCATCCATTGGGAGCTCCCAGTGTTGAAACACTCTATGAATAGAGTCACAGACTGGTTGGAGTGAGAAGGGACTTAAAGGATCATCCCATTCCCATCCCCTGCCACGAGCAGGGACACCTCTCACTAGACCAGGTTGCTCCAGGCTGGCCTCGGACGCTTCCAGGGATGCGGCAACCACAGCTTCCCTGGGAAATCCATCCCAGGGCCTTCTCCACCCTCCCAGGGAAAAACTCTCTCCTTCCCTTTCCCAGGTGTGTTTGGCTGCCCCACCACGGTGGCCAACGTGGAGACGGTGTCGGTGGCCCCCACGATCTGCCGGCGTGGAGGCGCCTGGTTCGCCAGCTTTGGCCGGGAGCGGAACTCGGGCACCAAGCTCTTCAACATCTCGGGGCACGTGAACACGCCTTGCACGGTGGAGGAGGAGATGTCGGTGCCGCTGAAGGAGCTCATTGAGAAGCACGCTGGTGAGTGCTGGGGCTGGGCCGCACCGCGCTGGGGCCAGGCTGGACTGGCTGCTCCTCACCCCTCTCTTCACAGGGGGTGTCCGCGGGGGCTGGGACAACCTGCTGGCTGTGATCCCGGGAGGCTCCTCCACGCCCCTGCTGCCCAAGTCGGTGTGCGAGACGGTGCTGATGGACTTCGATTCCCTGGTGCAGGCGCAGAGCGGGCTGGGCACAGCCGCTGTCATCGTCATGGATAAATCTGTAAGGGACTGGCCCCCTGCCCGGACCCCCAGCCCCTCACCCTCCCCTCCCTCACCTCACCCTCCTCTCCTTCCCCAGACGGACATCATCAAGGCCATTGCCCGCCTCATCGAGTTCTACAAGCATGAGAGCTGTGGGCAGTGCACCCCCTGCCGGGAAGGTGAGCCTTGGGGGGGTGCTGTGAGGGTGAGGGGTTGCCCAGCACGGAGCCCTGACCCCTCCCTGCCCTGCAGGCGTGGACTGGATGAACAAGGTGATGGCGCGGTTCGTGCGGGGCGACGCGCAGGCAGCCGAGATCGACGCGCTCTGGGAGATCAGCAAGCAGATCGAGGGGCACACCATCTGCGCCCTGGGCGACGGCGCCGCCTGGCCCGTGCAGGTGGGGGGGCCAGGGGGAGGCCCTGGGGGGGCCCACCAGCCCACCTGCCCCGGTAACCGGCTCCTTTGCTCCTTCAGGGCCTCATCCGGCACTTCCGCCCCGAGCTGGAGGAGAGGATGCGGCGCTTCGGGGAGGCCAAAGCCCGTGCGGCGTCAGCGTAAGGATGCAGGACCACCAGCACCTTTTCCTGCCTGGAAGGGGGTTCTGGGCTTCTGGCAGCAGTTTGGGAGAGTTCTGTGGAGGGGCCTCAATAAACGCTGCTGCACTCATGGGCTCCGTGACAGACACAAAATGGTGGAAAGGGACTGATGGGGGGGCTGTGGAAGGGATCCCCAGGGATTGTGGGGTCTGGGTACCCCAGAGTGGAGATCCCAGCTTTCTGTGAGGCTCCACAGCCCCTGCCTGGGACTGGGCAGAGGCAGTGGCTGTGGGGGGATCACATGGACACAACTCTTTGGGGACCCATGCTCCCTGTCCCTGCCATGGTGTCCCCAGAACACCTCCTGCTCTACCAGTGCCAGGGGACAGCTGTCCTGGCCACGCTCCATGACTCGGAGCCCGGGGCAGTTCCAAACATGGCTTTTACTGAATCACAGTGTGCGACGTCACCGGTGGCTTCTGTGCCCCAGAGCCACCCCCTGCCCCTTCCTCCCTCAGGCCTCGGGTTTCCGGGGTGGCACGTGGGTCTTCCTGCGGTACTGGCCAGGCAGCAGCAGCTCCAGGGTGAGCTCGGTGACGATAGCTGTGAGCCCCCACACCCTGTGGGGGCCATTCAGGAACACGGGCAGGGTGTACCCGTAGCCGGTGGCCGTGCGGAAGTGAGTGTAGCCCTGGTTCTCCTCCCGAAGCAGGTGAGCCAGGGGCAGGGTGAACACCTCCTCCACCTGCTGGCACATGGAGTGAGGAGGTGTCACTGTGGTGACACGCTCAGTGACACCAGGAAAGGGCTGCAGGCCCCAGGGAGGGGTCACCCACCTCGTCGGGGTTGGGGGTCAGTGTCAAGGCCTCCAGCGGCCCCAGGTTTGCCACGACAGGCGCCACGGTCATTCCTTGCTGGAGGGTGTGTCAAGGGAGGGATGGGGTGATCACCCCCTCTCTGAAGGTGCTACCTGTGTGTCTTGACCCCCCTGCACCCAACCCAAATCCCCACCACGAGTGTGTCACCCAAACCCTCCCTTCACCTGCAGCCACTGCCCTGTGTCCCTGTCACCCTGAATCCCCAGAACTCCTGTCACCTGTGTCCCTGCTGACTTGTCCGTATCATGTGTAATCCCTGTCACTTGTGTCCCCGTCAAACCAAGCCCATTACACGTCCCTGCTGCCTAGTCCCTGTCATTCTGAACCCATCACCCATGTCCATGTTAACCCAAGTCCCCTATCACACATGACCCAGCTGCCTGTCCCTGTCACCTGTAACCCCTGTGACACCTGTGTCCCTGCTGCCTTGTCCCTGTCACTTAAAATCCCTCCTCTGCGTCCCTGCTTCTGTGTTCCCATAACCCTTGCCCCTGTCATCTTGAACCCATCCCCCGTGGCCCTGACACTCTGTCCCCGTCACCCTCGACCCCGTCACGGATTTCCTGCTCTTGCCCTTATGTCCTTGTCCCCTCCGCGCCCTTGTCCCGCCCCCGCGCCCCCGGTACCCGGTCGGGCAGGGTCCGCAGCTGTCCCCACACGCTGGCTGCTGCCACCGCCACCCCCAGCTCCTCCCGCGTCTCCCGCAGCGCCGTGGCCACCGCGTCCGCGTCCGCCGGGTCCCGCCGCCCGCCGGGGAAGCTGCGGGAGGGATCGGGGTGGGCTCAGGGCCGGCCCAGCCCCGGCGCCCGCTCCCCCCGCCGGTACCTGACGTCGCCGCTGTGGGGGCCGCCGAGGCGGCGGGAGCGGAGCGTGTAGAGCAGCGCGGGGCGGCCGCGCACCGAGCACAGCGGCACCAGCACCGCGGCCGCGGCCGCCGCGCCCCCCGCGCCCCGCGCCGCCAGCCGCGCCCGGCACCGCCGCTCGCTGCCGCCGCTCAGCACATCCCCGGCGTCCGCGGCCCCGGCGGTACCGGCACCGCCCGGGCCCGCCATGGCGCCGGCACGGGGATGGGGAGGGAGCGACCGGCTCCGCCTCCCCCTGCCGAGCCCGCCCCCGGCCGCCCCGGGACGGGGAACGGCCCCGCGGGTGCGCGACAGCCCCGCCCGGCGTGCGACAACCTCCTCCCGGTGGGACGCGGCCCCCGCCAGGTACGGAACCCACCCGCCGGCTTTGCGATGCCCCTGCCAGGCTTGCGACCCTCTTGCTGGGTGTGCGACGGCCGCCGCCTGTGCGAGGTCCCCTGCCAGGTGTGCAAATCCCTGCTCCGGCCGTGCAACAGCCCCCACCAGGTGTGCAACAACCCCGCCAGGTGTGCGACCCCCGTCACAGCTTTACACGCACCCCCGAGTGTGCAAACCTCGCACCAGAGTGTGAAACTCTCACCTCTCCCTGCTCCGCGGGCTCTGCAGTGACCCCTCCAGGTGTCCAAAAACCCATTCCAGGCGTACACTTCCAAACCCTTCCAACCCCACCAAGTGTACCTTTCCTCCCCTTTTCACAGCCCCCACATGCCACCACATCCTTGCTGTCCCCCTGTGCCTGGGAGTGCCAGGACTCAGCCCTCGATGTCCTACCTGGAGAACACCTGGAGTGAGCGAGGGGAAACCGAGGCCCCCCACGACACCTGCACAGCCCATCTGAGCACAGATGGTTATTTGTAAGGGGGTGACAATACCAGGTGCTGTTACCTCACAGGGGAGTTTCCCCTGGGTAAAGAGCCTCAGTAGTATCTGAGGCTGGGAAAAAGGCTCCTGGACAAAATCAGGGAATGCTGGAGACCTGCCAGCACCGCTTCCTGGGAGACCCTCATGGACAAAGACTCTCACACCTGCACTTTCAGCTCTCAGCAGGAAATGATTTTTAAAAAAATGTATAGAAATCATCATTCTCCATGATTCTTCGCTTCCGGAGCCCAGCATCAGCTCCACAATCCCGCTCCCGCCTCTGGAATCAGCGGAACCTCCGCTCGTCCCACACGTATCGTTTCCCCACCGGCACCTTGCGGAAGAACAGGCTGTTCCCTCGGCTCATGTTGCCCTGGAAAGGGAAAATGACCATGGATGGGCCATATGAGATCTGGTGTGGCCCCCCTCAAACCCCGCACGGCTCCCACCCAGCTCCTTGCCACATTCCAGTGTATCCTGGTGCATCCCGGCTCCAGCACTTACCTCCCTGTGCAGCTGGCTCCAGCAATCCAGCCAGGAGGAGTAGGTGGGTGCATAGGGAAGGAGACCTCCAGCCAGCCTGGGGAAGGGAGGGGAGACCCACCGGGAATGACTCCCACAGGGAATCATTCCCACCCGGGTAGGTGGGATCCATCCCCTCCGCAGCTCCACACTGGGTTGAACCCCAAAAGCTTTGCCGCCCCAATCAAAGAGGGATCAACCCTGTGGAGAGCTGGAAACACCTTTTCCATGTGGGAATTTCAGAAAGGTGCTGATCCAGGCAGAGGGACAAGGATGTCCCTGGGATTGGGGACTCACCCACAGTTGTTCACGGCCATGAGGTTGGACACCAGGACGAAGGGATAGGTGAGCATGCTGGCGAAGAACTGCAAGGAAAAGCAGGGATAACAGGATGTTCACTCTTCCCTCTGTGTGGGAAGAACTAGCCCCTAGAGATCCCTTGGGAACTGTGCCCCAGGGAGGGAGCCTGCTCCTGCCACCTCCACAGGGTGACACATGTCCTCCACAGAGCATCCCCTGGCCTGAGAGCTGATCCAGCTGATCACAGCCTGGCTCCATGCCCATCGTGGAAGCTTCAGGATTTTGGGAGCACACCATTCCCTAGGGAAAGGATCGAATTCCCACCCGCACTGTACTCACCCCAGTGACTGCCTGGGAGTAGCTCTTCATCTCAGCCATAGTGGAGACCTGTGGAAGGAGCAGAGGCACCTGAATCCCCCCACAAGAGGGTCATGGCCCCCTGGACCACCCCTGGAGGTTCCCCCTGTCTACCCTGGATCCCGGATTCCATACCCCGTTCTCCAGCGCGTATGTGTTGATGAGGTAGGCCAGCATGTTGCAGAGCCACAGGGACAAGATATCACCAAGGAGCCGTGGGATGAGGCCGCTGGAAGGGAAGGAACAGCAGGAATGTTGGCTGAGGGTTGGGGTGTGGCCATGCAGAGAGCTGGGAACAGCTCCTTTGGGATGGTGGGGGAGGGCTGTTACCACAGCAGGTGGGTGACAGGGGCACAGCCACCCCCGGGGGTGGGGAATGCTTGGATGGGTGATCCAGAAGGGACACAGGAGCTGCTGGAGGGACCAGAATGCTCTCGGGAACAGCCACCACACCTTCGCATCAGCGTCACCCCCCCCACGCCCCTCCCTCCCTCCCCCGGCACTCACGCGAAGAATCCCAGGATTCCCTCTTCCCGGTAGATCGTGGTGAAGGCGCTTAGTGTCCCACTGGGAAGGGAGGGAAGAAGAGGGATGAGCTGGGGGGGAACCCTGGGATCCCCACCCCCCCTCCGAGGGCTCCCGGGCTGTACCTGTACTTGGTCTCGCGGCCGATGAACTGCACCATGCAGCGCAGGGTGATCACTGTGGGGACATGGGGACATGGCAGGCACAGGGGGCACCTGGCCCACCCTCCTTGCCCCGCCCCCGGCATCAGGGGACACCTACCGTGGAAGGGGTGGGTGATGAGGGTGGCAGCGGAGCGGGCAACCATCTCGCGGGAGGTCTGGGGACAAAGGTGGTGTCAGTGGGAGGGGCTGGGGCCAGGACAGCCCAGAGCTGCTGCCCTGCTCCTGCTCCTCACCTCCTTCAGCACCTGCTCCAGCGACGACACCGAATCCTTCTTGCTGGCTCCGGGCTGGGAGGGAGGCAGGGTCAGGGGGGATCCACCCGCCATCCATTTGGCAGGTCCCGGCCCTCCCTCCGGAGCTTTCCGGGAGCAGGGTAGGGTGGGAAGCGGGGAGGGAAACCACGGATGGGGAAGGGAGGGATGGAGGGGAGGAACAGAGAAATGGAGAGAGGAAGAAAGGAGAAGGGAGGGACGGGGAAATCGGGAGGCAAGGAGGGAAGGAAGATTCCCTCCCGGCAAGCCCCTCCGCACCCACCTCAGCCTGCTCGGCCTCCTGGTAGTGCTGTGGAGCAAAAGGCAGGCTCAGCACCGCCGCGGGGTCCCGGTGTCCCCGTCCCCGGCGGCAGAGCCCCCCCGGCTCCCCCCAACCGCGCCGGTACCTGCACCACTTTGCTGTGCACCACGGTGCCGATGGCGCTGGAGCACAGCCGCGGGGCCAGGCCCTTGAAGAGTCCCGCTCTCCCGTCCACCTTCACGATGTGCTTGGCTGGGGACACCGGGGACCGTCAGCCCCGGGGGGACCCCACGGCGGCCCCGCCGGGGCGGCCCCACCGGGGCGGACTCACCGTAGGAGAAGAGGCCGGGCAGCTGGTACACCTGGCGGCCGAAGATGTTCCTCCCCAGGGTGGGCGGCAGCGGCTCGTAGCCCACCTGCGGCGGGGACAGGCGGCTGCACCCCACCGCGGCCGGTACCGAGCCCCCGCACCCCCCGCCCGCCCAGCCCTTACCTGCACCAGCACCTTCACGTACATGAGCGGCTGCGAGAGCACGGTGAGCCCCGAGCCCAGCAGCACCTGCGAGGCCGCGTCCGCCATGGTGCCGCCCCGGCGTCACGGCACAGAAGGACACGGCCGCCGCCGCTTCCGCTTCCGCCTCTTCCGGTACGGCCGCCGCCGCCGTGACACGGGCCCGGCCGCCAGGGGGCGCCGCGGGGACGCGGCGGAGTCGCCATGGCAACACCCGGGGCGCCGCGGCGGCATTGCCATGGCAACGGGGCCCGCGGGGACACCGCGGTGACAGGGCCGAGGAGACACCGGCGGGGCCCAGGGCCAGGTGCCAGCAACCTCTGGGACGCCCGCGGGGACGCTGCAATTAGAACAGGCGTCAGCAGGCCTGGGCACTGGGACAAGGGTGGGTCCCAGCAGGGGCTCTGCTCTGACACCAGGAAGGGTGCAGTTGGAGTGGGGACATCCCTCCAAGGCAAGGCAGTGACAAGGAGAGGTACCCCAGATGCTGTGCTTGGGTGTTGTGGGGGGCTGCTGGCTCCTGCCCAGGACCCCGCTGCCCACCAGGGCCGGTGCTGCCTGTGGGGCAGAGGGGATGCTGCCCAGAGATGTCCCCCATGGACACGGGGGTCTCTTCCCTGCTCATCTTCTGGCCTTGAGGGGAGCAGCACTGCAGCTGGAGGGCAGGGGGGCAGGAGGGGACAACCACTGCAGCTAGGGCTCACCTGGGCAGCAACCAGGGAAGTGGATGTGGACAAAGCTGCTGAATGGCTCCAGGACTGGCCCCCCACCAAAGCCCCTGGTGCTCCCACCCCTCCCCTCTCCAGGGGTGGAGAGCTCTGGGAGCCAGGACACGGCCACCACTCTGTCCCCAGGCTGGAGTGTTCAGGGGGTGGTGGTGACACAAGGGCAGGACCCAGCAATTGGCCTTGTTGACGCTCACACTGTTAGCCTCAGCCGATGGATCCAGCCTGTCCAGATCCCTCTGCAGAGCTTCCTGCCCTCCGGCAGGTCCACATCCTACCCAAGTCAGTGTCACCCATGAATTCACTGAGAGGACCCCTGATCCCCTCATCCTGAATATCCTGGATTACAAGGGTCTCATTCTGCCCCCACCATGCCCCCCGCACCAGTGCACCAGTCACCACCCGCCCCTCGCACGATCAACCAGCTGGCCCTTCCCAAACTGCTACAATTTATTGGACAACGGTAAAGGGATCTGTACATCTGTAAAAAAAAAAAGAGAAGAGCTTGGTGTGTGGCACCACGTGCCTCAGGTGCTCGAGGCTGTTTTCCTCCGCTTGAGCCGCGCGCGCCAGTCCTCGGGCAGCGCCTCGAAGTTGGCGTTCCTCTCCGCCATGCCACTGCGGGACAGAGCAGGGGGTCAGCACCGCAGGGCCCTGCCATGGATCCCCCCCGCTTCACAGGGCACACGAGGTGCTGGTCCCAGGGTCCGTACCTCATCAGCTGCTGCTGCTTCCACTCCTCAATGCGCCGCTGCGCTGTGGTCTCCCGGTCCTCCTCGCTGGAGCTGGAGTTCTCCTCCTCATCCAGCTCCCGCTGGATACTCTGCCACTTCTTCACCAGCGACGGCATCTTCGTCTTGCCCTTCTTGCCCTGCGCCGTAAGAGCAGCCCCGGTGAGCGTGGCTGGAGAGGGAGAAGAGGGGGAGTGGCGCCGGCAAGGGCCCACCCAAGCCACCTACCTTGTCCTTGCGCCCCTTCCTCGGCTTCTCCTTGTCTGGTGGCGGGGGGGCCTTGGGGGCAGGCGGCGGGGGTGTCTGTGGGGGTGGTGGGGGTGGCGGCTGCTCAGTGGCAGGCAGGGCTGCCCGTGCTGGGGCGGGCTGCGTGGCAGCCGCGGTGCCCAGGCTGACGGGAGTGGCGCACTCCGAGTATCCCATCACGGAAGGCGCGGCGGGAGCCGTCACGCCCAGGTAGCTGGACTGCAGCCCCAGTGCCGTGGGCTGGGGGCTGGCGTGGCCCGGGGCCATGCGGAGGTTGGGGCGGCCCTGGATGTCGCTCTGGAGGCGCTGGCGGGGCCGCAGGGAGGCCAAGGGCATGGCTGATGGCTGGTACTTGCTGGTAGCCATCAGGGGCTGGCTGTAGATGACGGGGCAGCTGCCGATGGTGGCCGTGCGCTGCATCAGTCCCGGGCTCATCTCCACAGCTTTCCTCTTCTGCGGCTTGGCTGAGAGCAGTGGAGCCGGGCTCGGTTCGACGGCACTCTAGAAGAGAGCACTGGGGTGAGTGCTGAGCCAGAAACACCATTACACAGCCCCTTCCCAGATTCCTGCCCTCTGGGATCAGCAGAGCCATGGTTTGGCAGCTCACCTGGCTGCTGCTGGCAGCGGGGCGCACCAGAGACTTTAAGGGAGCATCCTCCTCTGTTCCTGGGGCAGGTGGCTCCTCACCCCCCTCATCTTCCATCTCCACTTCCTGGATCTCCCCATCTTCTCCAGGTGGTGGGGGTGGTGGTGGGGGCGGCGGTGGCGAGTCTGGGGGAGGCGGAGGCGGCGGAGGCATTTCCAAAGGCAAGGGAGGTTGGAGGACCGGGACAGAGGACTGAAGCAGAGTCCAAAATGGAGTGAGCGGCATGAGAGACGTAGCAGGAGCTTGGCCTGAGAAGGATTCTTTACAAAGGGAGCCTGAAGAACACATTGACATGGGCTTGAACGCTCGGGCTCCTGACTGTGCCACCTGCTCCTGCCCGCGCTCTTGCTCGGGCCACCGGCTCTACCTCCGGCAGCCGGGACACTGGGACAGCTGGGATGGTTAAGGCACCGCCATCGGTAACTGCTCTTCCCCAACACACCCCCCTTTGGGGCCAGGACCCTCCCAACCACCTCCCAGTCCCGCCATGGTCGTACCTGCAGGGCGCTCGGCGGGCTCCTCAGTGCGCTCTCCTTTGTCTTTGGGGGGGGGTTTAGGAGGACCGTCGGGTTTTCTGTCGGCACTTCGCTGTCCCTCCTCTTCGTCCTCCCCGTCGGGGAACTCCCATTGCGACTCTCCCGAGCGCTCGTTAACATAGAAATAGCGTCTATGCTCCCTAGATCACAAGAAAGAGAAGGAGGCTTCAGCTTCCCTTCTCCGCCCCCGACACTCCAGGTGGGCCTGCCCACGACAGCGGTGCGCTCTCGCAGGGGAGACCCTCGTGCAGCGGGGCTGCTGCTCTCCCAAACGCGACAAACAACTTTGAGGACAGAGGCAGGAGAGGCCCGAGCCGACTCGCTCAAAGCTATTTGCCCTGGCTGGCTGCGGGACGTCGCCCTGAGCCCCCCGCCCCGAGGGAGGGGAGGGCCGGGAACGCCGGCGACGTCTCGCTAAGCATCGGGACTTTCAGCACGGCCTTGGCTGAAAGTCACCCTCCGAGAAGAGGCACCGGGGAACAGCCCAATGGAGGGAAGCGGCTGCCCCCCTACCCCGTGGTGCGCGGAGGTTTTTATGATACTCTTGGTGTCAAACACACAGTGAATGCTAGAGAGAGGGAGCGGATCTGGGAGCTGAAAAACAAAAGAGCAAAGATTTCAAACAAAGGAAAATTAATCAAGAAAGCCAAATAGACAAAGAAATGTTTGGGTCTGACCTGCTGGCAGGAGACAGAAATCTTGTTCTTCATTCCGTCGGTGAGTTGAAGTTTGTCCTTTGGCAGAGCTGTTGGTCAGAAGAGTTGATCCAGAGATCCTGCAAAGTTCACAGAGCTCTCGCATGCGCGACCCCCCAGGCCCGCCCTCCACAGCGCTTGACACTCGCGAGAGGGACAACCAGCTCTGTCCGTCAGGGAATCAGCTCCGTCGCAAAGCACTGGGCACTCCGTTTGGATCCTCCCGTTTTGGTGGCCGGCCCAAACTCTGCGAGTGCCGGATGTTTCTCTGCCTGCCCAGCACTAACAGAAGCTGCTCTCAGTTCTGCCAGAGGGACGGCGCCAGCGTCGTTCGGGTGGTTGATGGTCACAAATCATGTCTGAGATGTCAGAGATGAAAGGTGAGAAAGGAGGAGAGCGCGTACCTGTCCCAGTGGCAGGACCAGCCTTTAGGGGTGGCGTTTATTTCGTATTGTTTAAGCTGTTCGGCTGCGTCTTGGAGTTTGCGTTTGAGGTAGTTTCCATTGAGAGCACCTTCTCGCCAGTCTGCAATGCGGGTCTAGAGGGCAAGAACCGGGGGAAGCCGGTGAGGTGGGCTGGGAGCGGCCACAGGGGGGACGGGACTCGAGGATTGGGAGGCTCCCTTCCAACATGGGACACCGGGGGCCAGGAGGGGGGACACCCCGCCTGGGCATGAAGCCATGCTCTCCCCCCGCCGAGGAAGGGAGGGCCCTGCGCGGCGAGGAGCCACGAGGTTCACGCAGCACCGGCGCTCGGACGGCGGATTGCATCCGATCCGCTCCGGAACACGAGGCCGGAGCGGGGGGCGAAGGCTTGGTTACCTCTGTCTGCAACAGCAACATGTGGAAGTTGGAGATAGATTGTCTGTTGATGCCCAGGAACTCCAATTTACTAGTCAGAGTATTTGCCAGCTCTCCGATCTGAAACTGCCAGGAGAAAGGGCAGAGTCAAAAGCCGCCCTCCGGGAGCGGCACCGGGCGGCTGCGGTCCCGAGGCTCCCAGGAAACGCCGCTCGGGACCACCGGCAGCCTCTCAGCCCGGTGGGACTGGGACGTGCCACCCTGGCCCTGTGTGCCTGTCACCCCCTCTGTTACATCCTGCACCCCAGGGACAGGGCAGTGTGGGGAAGCCAGGTGACACCTCCTCCACAGACCGTGCCCAAATCCACGCAGGAGGACAGCAGGGACTCGGGTTGCTCTAGTACTCTGGAGTTACAGAAGAGCCATCGCCACGGCAGAAAGCGTAAAATCTAAGAATGTTTCCCAAATAAATGGGCTGGATGGCAGGATGATATTCCAGGCTCTATAAATCATTGCTTTCCAGAGGAACTAGCTGGAAAACACCAGAAAGGGATAACAGCAGCTATGTGAAAACTCAGGTCAGCCCACGGTGACCACAGTTACTCAACCCGAGCGTCCCATGGGAGGGAAACCTCCAATGTGGGGACACGGGGATCTCCCTGGGTCCATCTCCCTGACTGGGGGCACTGCATGGAAGCAGCCATGAGTCAGAAAGGAATGAGGAGCAGGAACAGGGATGCCTGCAAGGGGCATTGCCACTGCTTTAAGAAGGGCTCTGAAAATGTCTATTTTTAGGTCCATTCCTCAGAAAAGGCTTAGGAATGTCCACAAAGCCAGCAAGGCAGCATCTGTTCCCAGAGAGGGGACAGGCCAGACAGACAAGCCCTAGAGAAGCCTGAGGTTGGGATATGAATTCCCATGTTAACATGGCTCCAGAGAAGCCAGGGAAGATCTCGGAGCAGAGAGTGACTTGGCAGCAGCGGCCCCGGCGCAGCTCCTGTAACCAGAGAGGTTATCCCGACCCGATGAGCAAACGGTACCGGTTACCCAGGGAGCTGGCATTCCTCCAACAGCTCTAAGGGAATCCTGCATGGAAAAGCACCACGGGGTCTGTCACTGCACCCGCCGGGACCAGGAGGACAGGGGACAGTGCAGGGGACCAGCGAGCCCAGCCCTGCCACAGGCTTTTGTTATTTTAATTTAAATGAAATGATTAAAAGATCAGGTCTCACACGGATGCTGCACTGAGGGAGACTCAGTTTTGTGCTGGGAACATCACACTGCAAAACCTTTGAAGAGTTTTTTATGGGAGAAATGTGGAATTTTTCACAAGGACAGCACCAAAGCCCTTCCCTTTCGCACCAGTAAAATGATTAAGTGGTGTGAAATGAGGTCAGGGATGGGCAACTCTCACTGCAGGTTCCACCCAGGCTCCACCACGAGCTGATGATTCCCCATCTGCCACAGTGAGGTGACAACATTCCTCAAAGCCACTCCGGAGCCAAATTTTATGCTGCAGGAGATCTCAGGGTAATGAACGACCAGGGAATCATCCAAAGGACAAATGGGAAAGTTCTCCCCTACTGCTCTGCCATGCTGCCCCAGAGCCTGGAGCTCTGCTACGGATCAGGGAATGATTGTGGTGCAGCCAAAGGAGCAAACCGAGGCTCGGGAAAGAAAGTATCAGCAGGATGCTGCAGATAGAAACCCCCAGGGCCTCCCCGGTTTGCCTCTACAAGTAATGCCGGGCGAAGGGCAGAGCGGTACCGTCAGCCTCCAGAAACGGAGAGAGTACGGACGAGGAGTCTTCAGCCTGGAAACGGGACGACTGACCGGGCCAGAGACTGGAATATCGTTATTGGTGAAAACAAAGTCAAGATCAAAGTGGTTGTTCTCTGTCACGACAACACCCAGGGCTCAGTCTTTGCCCCCCCACACCCTCCTTTTATCCAAGCTTTTGCTGCTGGATCCTGCTGGAGACAGGATATTGTCCCAGTCCTGCACAGCCCTTCCTTCACAAGCTGTTCCCATTGTCACGCCAGGATCTGAGCTTTAAGAGCTTCATCTGGGTCAAAGCCAGAGCCCAAAGCTCTGGTGTTCCCAGGGAGGATGTGGCTAGGGAAGCCAGTGTGTCCCTTGTCCCTGCTGAATGCTGAGGACCCATCACAACCCTCACCTCACCGACACACACCTCTGATTCTCCATACCTTTAGGTCCTGCTCCTCCTCTTCCATTTTTGGAGCCCCTTGGGATTTTGCTTTTTCCTGGGGCTCCTCAGATTCTGCCTCTTTGTCTGAGCTCTGATCAGCTGCTTCCACGCTCGGGGCTGCAGGAGAAGGAAGGACAGGTCAGTCAGTCCTTGTCCCACCACCACCCCAGTGGTGCTGGCACCTGGCTGGACTCTGCTCGGAGCCAAAGCCAACATGGGAAAGGGTGGGGAAAGAGCTGGGACTTCTTTTCCATCATAGCCAGTGACAAGATGCTGAAATTAAAAAGGAGAAATGATCACTGCTCTGTGTTTTAGTGGTGGGGCCCTTCCAGAAGGACAACACAGGGAGGAGTGGAGCTGCTACAGCACAAAGCAGGAAGGAAGATCAGCCTGGAATACAAGGCATCTCAAAATCTATCACTTTAATAATTGGTCAGTAAAAGATATGGGGTATTAAGTAAGTTAATTATCAAAGACTGAAGAGCTCCCAAAAAATTGTCAAGACCAGAGGGTTTTGCCTCCGGATGACTAATTCACTGTCCAAGTGACAAATTCCAGGGAGGGAAGTTTGTGACAGAATCCCAAAGCCCCCAGGGGAAAGAAACCCCAATTCCCAGTGTGTGTGTCCTGATGCTGGAAAGCTGGAGACTTCCCTAAATCACCCTCCTGCAGCAAGGTGTTCAATTTAAACCGGTTGTTTTGGAGTGACAGCTTCCTGTTCCTCAGGTTAAGAAGGGGGAAATGGGAACAACTGGCTTCAGGGATGCTTGGAAAGCCCTCGGGTAAAACCACTCCTTGGAGCCACTATGGAAAAATGACATCACTGACTTAGTGCCAGAGATGTCACCCAGCTCACGCCCCTGCCTGAAGCAGAGGCACCTTAGGGAATGGGGCAAGCACCAACACAGCCTGCTCTAGGCCCTTTTGTACCAGTTCTTCCTTGGAAAAGCAGTTTAATTCAGCTTGCTGTGCTGCAGGCAGTTGGCCTGAAGCCTCATGCTGGGAAGGGACTGGCATGTCTGGAGAAAAGGAGGCTCAGGGGGGACCTTCTCACTCCCCACATCTCCCTGATAGGAGAGGGGAGCCAGGTGGGGATTGGGCTCTGCTCCCAGGGAACAAGTGATAGGACAAGAGGAAACGGCCTCAGGCTATGCCAGGGGAGATTTAAGTTGGGTATCAGGGAAAATTTCTCCATGGAAAGGGCTGTCTAGCCCTGGCACAGCTGTCCAGGGCAGTGGTGGAGTCCCCATCCCTGGAGGGATTTAAAAGCCACGTGGATGTGGCACTTGGGGACATGGTCAGTGATGAACTTGGCAGCCTTGAGGGAACAGCTGGACTCCATGATCTCAGAGGGTTTTTCCAACCTGAACAATTCCATGATCCTACAGTCTAGAAGTCCCAGGGCTGCTGGGCACAGGGTGTTCTTTTAACTGCAGCTGGTGCATTTTAGGAAGCACAGCTCTGGAGGGTCTGACAGGAACATGAAGAGTGGTTGTGAGCAACTGATAAATCCACACACAGTTAGAATGGATCCAGGAGTACCTTGCCATGGAGGCTGGAGTTACATTCTCCACACATGAAGTGTGGAGCCCAAGCGGCTCTGGGGACACCTCAGCTGTCTGGAATTTGGCGATTGTTACCAGGCAGTTCAGAAACTGAACTTCGAAAGAGGAAGGTGACAGTTCCCAGCGTGCCACAGGTTGGATTTGTGATGTTGAGAGGAAGTGGAAGGCAGTGGGATGCGAGGCAGCTATTATCCACGTCCCTTCTCCCAACAAACCACTGAATGAGGGCACTCTCCTGCTTATGTGATTAACGAGGATAAAGGAGAGAATGCGACAGAGAACAGCTTGTCCCGGTGAGGCTGGGCTGTGACAGTAGTGACAGCCACCCCTCGGCCTGACCCCACACGTACCTCACGGCCCTTCCCGGCTCTGCTCCGTAGGTCTTCGGGGAAAGGAGACCCCCCGCTCCTCCCTCCGAAGGGAGCCTTTCCAATTACCTGCTTCTCCCACTTCTGGGCTCTCCCGGCCCGTTTTGCTGGAGCCTCGGCTGGCAGACTCGGGGCTGGCGGCTCCCCCCAGCAGTTTCCATTTCCCTCTCTTGGAGGCCAGCCTGCGGGATGCATCCTGCGAGGCCGACTGGCTCCTGTCGGACAGCGGGCTAGAACCTGAGACGCTGCCATCGCCTTCCTCCAAGGCACGCAGTTCTGCCTGCCAGGACAGGACAGCCCGGTTTATTCCCAGTAATAACACGGCTGCTGCCTGTGCAGTTTCACTTCTAGGACAAACGTCCACCCTTACCTTCTTCCTTTCCAGCACCATCTCCAGCTCAAGCGTGTCCTGCTCCTCCTCCTCCTCCTCCTCGGCGCTCTCCCCCGACTGCACCACACTGCACAGATCCTCCTGCCCCGTGTCTTCCAGCGGGTCCCTGCTGGGCTCTGGCTCCTCGGGGACAGCCGGCGCCTCTTCTGCTTTCGCCTCCTCTTCCGGAGGTGGCTCGACCTCCTCCTTGCAGATCACCTTCCTCCTCCAGCGCTCCTCTTCCTCCTTCACCACGTCGGGCAGGAGCGGGGCCAGGAGGGCTGCAGCCACGCCCTTCCTCTCCTCCTCGCTGTTGGAGAGGGCCTGCACGCCCTCGTTCACTTCCTGTGGGATGAGCTCTGCCTGAGCTTTCCGGCAGCCACCAGAGGAAGGAGCCTGCGCTGCTGGGGCCCCTCTTGGGGCTGCTTAATAGAGAGGAGCGACCCACCCGCTTCCAAGGAAGCCCAAGGAGGTGCCTACAAGCCCTAGGACAAGCAGAACCCGCCTGACTGACCTTCTTCACCTCCCGCTTGCCGAGGCTGGTCCCGCGGCCGGCGCTGCCCGGGGCCCCCTTCTCCTGCGGGAACGGCTCGGTGGCTGCCACAAAGCTGCCGTTGGCACCTGCAACGGTGCTGCTGAGGGAGCAGAGAGGGAATTAAGTGTGGGATTGGGACAACATCCCACGGAGCAACATCCCAGGCATCTCACCCACCTGTGCTGGTAGTGCTGCAGGCCCTGGACTTGCGTCGCCAGGTACTGCGGCAGCTCCCAGGTCACCTCGTTGCTCTGGGTGTTCCAGTAGTAGTAGCAGCCGGTGTTCTCATCCCACACTTCCTGCCAGTCACCCATCTCCAGCTCTCCCACTGCCAGGGAGGGGGGGACAAGGACAGCCCGTTAGGCCCTTCCCCCGGTGACACCTGCCTGTCCCCGCTCCCTGTGGGGATGGGAAGGGTTCTCACCTCCGGCCAGCGAGCACTGGGTGTCGTACTGCCACTCCGGGGCCGGCGCTGCGCCCGCTCCATTGGCTGTGCCTGCGGACGGGCCCGTACCTGAGTCCTTCGGCTCCGGCCGGGGGGGTGTGGGTGGGGGTGCAGAGGAGGAAGAGGAGGAGGAGGCAGTGGTGGGCTCTGTGGGCTGTGGGGGAGCTGTGATAGCATCGATCTCCTGCAAAAACATCCCACCACAGGCTTCGAACACCAGGCCAAATCAAAGCACTTACACAAAAGGTCACAAAACTCCCTTCCTCCCAAAAAGACCCCCTGGCCCTCCCTGGAGCGGCACTCACAGCCAGGAAGTTGGCCAGGGTGCTGTCAATGTCGGTGGAATTGCTGCCATTGGCATCCATGGAACGGGTCGGCTTTTCCACGTTCTCGCCTTCCTCATCATCACTGTCAGCGTAGGCTCCCAGAAGACACAGACCTCCTGGAGAAGGGAAGATTGAATCCTCAGGGGGAACCTTCCTGCTGCCACAGGGAATTGGATCTGACCCCTCACTCTCTGCTCTGGTGGTCCCACTGTCAGCCCATGGGGAATAGGTCCCATGGAAGCAGCAGGGTTGGCTTCTGGGGATGGGCACCCCCTTCCCGTGAGCATTCCGGGGATAGACACCACTACACCCTCTTCCAAACAGCCACAGGGGCATATGCCAACTCCCAAAACTGTGAGGGACCAACTCCTGAACACAGGGGAGCAGGAAATACCCTCCACGTCGAAAAGAACTCGATATTAGAAGGGAAAAATCAAATCCCCACCCAAGAAAAAAAGACTCGGGGGCGGGGGGTCGGAATCCCACAAAAACAGAAACCCTCCATTTTTTATCATTATGCATCGGGGGCCGCTCCACTCCCAAATCCAGGGATTTGATATTTTGCGGGGAGGGGGGTTTAATCCCACGTTTCCACCCATGGTACTCTCTTACCTGTGGCCTTGACGGCGGCGGGCGCGGGGGGTGGCGGGTTGGGCGGGTTGCGTGGGGGCTCCGCCACCGCCTCGGGCTCATCTGCGGGAAAGAAGCGTCAGTCCCGGGGGGCTTCCGGGATGGTGGGAGGGAGGGCGCGGGGAGGGCGGCGCGGGGCTCCCCGGGCTCCCGCCCGCGCTAGGCCGCGCCAGGCCAGGCCGCGCCGCGCCAACAAAGCGCGCCCCCCTCCACCGCCCGCGACCGCCTTACCCGGTTCGGAGCCCGATTCCACCCCGTCGCCTGCGGGTCCCGCGGCCTCGTCGCGGCGCGGCGCGGGCGGTGAGAGCTGCAGGATGGGCCGGCGGCCGGGCGCGGCCCGCGGCTTCTTCCCCATGGCGGCGGCGGCGCCTCGGGCTGCGGCCGCGCTGGTGACGTCAGAGGGAGGGGCGGGGCCAGATGTGGACACGCCCCCCCCCGGGCGGAGACAGCGGGGGCGGGACCGGCGGTGTCCGGGCCTGTAGGGTGGGGACAGGGTGGGAATAGCGCCCCTTCCCGCCCGGGGAACGGGGACAGGGTGGGAATAGCGCCCCTTCCCGCCCGGGGAACGGGGACAGGGTGGGAATAGCGCCCCTTCCCGCCCGGGGAACAGAGACAGGGTGGGAATAGCGCCCCTTCCCGCCCGGGGAACAGGGATAGAAGTGGGAATAGCGCCCCTTCCCGCTCGGGGAACAGGGATAGAAGTGGGAATAGTGCCCCTTCCTCCCTGTGGAGGGGGGATAAGCATGGATTTAGTGCCCCTTCCTGCCCTATAGAAGGGGGAGGGACGAGAGTTTAATGCCCACTCCTGACCTATAGCCCCCTCCTGCCCTGTAAGACAGGGCTGTCCTTGCATTTATAGCCCCTTCCTGCCCTAGGGCTGCCCTTCAATGTACAGCCCAATGCCACCCTTGACCCTGTAAGCACATCCTATCCCATAGCCCTGTCCTGCCCTATAGCACAGACTGCTCTTGAGTCTATAGCCTCATGCTGCACTCCAGGGTTCTGGCCCCATCCCATCCTACATCATAATCCTATAGCTTTTCCAGGGGGTTACAGCCCCTTCTTACCCTATACCGCCCCCCTCTCTTGAGTTATATCCATTGGGGATAGAGCTCCCTCTCTCCTGGGCCCTACAGCTCCATCCTGCCCTATATCCTGGCCCTAGAGCAAGGGCTGTAGGGAGAGGTCTGGAGAGAAAAGCTTTACACCCTCCCCTTTTCCCACCCCGCCCCAATGCACACCTGGAATAACACTTCCATTTTATTAAAGTTCATCCAAAAACATACCAATAAATAAAAGAAGTTCCCAAAAGTTCCATGTCTGGAGCAGGCAGAGAGCGAGTGGGCGTCATGTCTGTGACCCCCCAGCCCTGCTCATCACCCATTGCCCCCCAGGGTGACAGCAAGGGGACACGCTGAAGGGGCAAACCCACCTCCCCAAACCCAATCCTTCTGGAAAAACGACGAGTAAATCCAGCACCACAGGCTGGGATGGCGACGCTCCCGGGGGACGTCACCTGGGCTAGGGGTGGCAGTACAGGCGCTCCAGGGTGGCCACGCTGACCTTCTGCTGATAGTCCTCCATCCTGTCGTTCAGCTTCTCGTAGAGCTGGGAGAGGCAGGAGTCACGAGGAATCCCACCCCATCCCAACCCCATCCCAGTGCCCCTCCCTCAGGAATTCTGGGGACTCTGCACCTACCACGACACTGTTCTCGTTGGCGGAGCTCTCCCGCAGCGCCTGCAGCAGCTGGTCAATGGCAGTGTAGGGAAGCCACATCGTGGGGGACGTTGGGGACAGGGGGACCTGGGAGGGACGGGAGCCCTCATGCCGTGTCCTCAAGGAACATCCATCCCCCGTCACATCCCTCCCACCTGTGGGTGAGCTCACCTCGATCCCAAAATACTGGTGCCCTTTGCCCAGCACAGCATCCACATACTCCAGGACCAAATCCACGGCCTCCTCCAGCAGGTCGTAGTTCAGGTAGAGGCGCAGCAGCTCAGCAGCATCCACTTCCTGCAGAAAAAAAAAGGGAAACTCATCCAGGGAGTGTGACCAGGAGCCGGGACCACATTGGGAGGAACCTGCTCCGAGCCTCAGTCCTGGGCACAGGGCACCCAGCCCCGGGGCCTGGAGCAGAGAGCAGGGAGGTGGGTGGTGCTGGAAGGTGCCCGTTGGAGCGAGAGTGATCCAGTAGCTCTGGGACAGATGGGATTTTGGGACAGCTGGCTCCCTGTTCTCACCTTGTAGCTGTTAATGAGCCAGTTGGGCAGAGGGATCCCGTGTGCCAGGAGCTTGTTGATGACGCAGCGATGGTACAGGCTGTTCTGGGATGGGTAACGCTCCAAGTAGGATGACAGCAGCCTCCAGGCTTCATCCGTGGCACTGCAAGGAAACAATTCCCCTTGGAACACGTGCCAGCAGCTCCTGCCACTGTCTAGGAGGCCATGGTGTGCTCCAGGTCACGTGGGGACAGCGTGCAAACACAGCTCTCCCCATATCCCAGTCACACAAATTCTGCTTTAAGGGGTTTTTAAGGACCCCCGACACTCTGGATTCCCACAAGGCTCCTGTTTCCAGACCCTCCTGCTCCCAAACTGTGAATATGGACCTACCTGGACTCCTTGGTGGTGACCAAGGAAGAGAGCTGGTTTGCTGCCAGCCAGTCCCAGGCCTTGGCCTGCGCCTCTTCCCCTCCCAGCTGGAGCTTGATGCACCTGCATGAAAACCAAAAACCAAAGAAAGGTGGGTCCCTCCAGAGCCCAGCCCTTTCCCACTGCCATCAAAGCCACCCCTCGCAGGACTACTCCCAAGGAACAGCTGGCAATCAGCTGGATTAGCAGGAAAAGAAGGTTCTTAGGGCCAATTCCACCCCAAAACCACTGCGTCCCTCCGGCCCCACATCCCCCGAGGTGGGAGAACACCCGGACACGCACTTGAAGGTGAGGCCCTCAAAGATGGGTGTCAAGGGCAGCTTGAAGGTTTGGCACAGGGTGATGGCAGAGTCGAAGAGTCCGGCCCGGACCAGGAGAGACACCGTTTCCTCGGGCGTGGAGTTGCCTGAAGGGAAGGAGGACCAGGTAAAGCCTCTCCCAGTAACACCCAGTGCATACTGGGGCCTCACCCTGTGTTACTCATCGAGAGCTGCAACAGCACTGCGCTAACAGCATCAAACGCCCCGCAGCAGTACTTCTCAATCCATGGCTGGAGGCTTTCCTGGCCTCCAGAGCACCCCATGAGCCTGGGAGCTATCCCCTGGGGGGACTGCACAGAGCAGCAGGGAGCCACAGATCCATCATCACCTGGAGAGGAACTACAGAGGGACACAGGCAGCAATATACGACCTACAGGCAAATGCTGCTGCTGCTGTTTAGAACCACGGAATTAGTTGGAAAAGAACAAGATCATCAAGGCTAGGGAGGGGACAGCCTCGTCACATCTCTGTATCCAAGCAAACAAGGCACCAGCTCAGCTCTGCTAGCGCAGAAACTGTGGCACTCGGCTCCCTGCGTCTCCACTTTGCCCTCAAAGCAGCTGTTCCCTCCTTTCCCTGCAATCCCTTGCTGGGAAGTCACCTCCTCCTGACATTTAAAGGGGAAAGATGTGGACACGTTGTGTAACTTCTATCAAAGATATTAAAAGGCCCAGGGTGGGAGAGTTGTACCTCCCTGCTGTCCAAAAAGGAACAACTTTGAGGAGCTAACACTGTTCCATGAAGCAGGACTATCCAGGAAAATCATTTATTCATCAATTAAAAAGGTTGGACTCAATGATCTTGGAGGTCTTTTCCAACCTTAATCATTCTATGCTTCCATGATTTCCAGCAAGATAAAAAAGTGCCTTTTTGTCCCAACCCAGAAGCTCATCTCACCCTCCCTGCAGACCACCAGAGCTTGGAAAAGCCAAAAACCGGCAGAATGGTGGATGGATTTCACGGGAGGGATGGGGATTGGGCGGTCCCTGCCACCTGCTGGGTTTGTCCCTGGGGCAGGACAGGGACCTGAAGGGGTTGAATCGCTCTCACCTGCCACAGCTGCTGCCGACACGTCGTGTTCCACCAGGGTCAGCCGGATCCGGGCCAGCAAACATTCCCTCTCCAAATCCTCCAGCTCCAGGATCTCGATCTGGCGAGTGGCTGGAACAGATGGATACTGGGCTCTCAGCATTCCAAAAAGGGTTCTCTGGGCACTGTGCAGAATGTCATGGAATTGTATGGGTTGGAAGCGTGCTTAAAGCTCATCCATTTCCATGGGCAGGGACACCTTCCATTATCCCAGGTTGCTCCAAGCCCTGTCCAACCTGGCCTTGGACACTGCCAGGGATGGGGCAGCCACAGCTTCTCTGGGAAACCTGTGCCAGGGCCTCCCCACCCTCACTGGGAAGAATTTCTTCCCAATATTCCATCTAACCCTGCCCTCTGGCAGTGGGAAGCCATTCCCCCTTGTCCTGTCTCTCCAGGCCCTTTTCCAAAGTCCTTCTCCAGCCCTCTTGGAATTGCCCTTTAGGCATTGGAAGGGGCTCTAAGTTCTCCCTGGAGCCTCCGTACCCTTGTAAAACCATCTCCACACCCCTCTCCCACCCTAAGAGGAGCTGTACCCCAAAAAGCACCACAGGAATGATCAGGATTTGCTGACCTTTCCCTGGTCCCTTGACTGCACTCTCTCCTTGATACTATGCTCCAATTCCTCCTCCTCCAGATGTTACCTAATATTTGGGAACAGCTGCTGCTTTGCCTGCCAGGCACATGCCACAAAAAAAACTCTTCAGAAAGAGCTGGTTTAAAAATACCTGACCTTAAATTTTTCCCACCGGAAGGCTGAGGATAACCTGATCCCACATCCTGGGCTGTGGCACACACAGGCACAGCTTATTCCTGACAGGATTTCCAAGGACACAAACAGTCTTGAACAACCAGAAAATGCCTCAAAAAGGTGTTTGGTTGTTTTTTTTTTTTTTTTTTGATTACAAATTATTTCCACTGAAAAAAAAAGGCACTGTCAAGGCATCAACTTGCTGAGAGTGTGCACAGGAGCTCCTTAGGGAATAGCTGTATTCCTTGGGGAACCAGCTGTATTCCTTGGGGAAACAGTGGCAGTGTGTTGCAAATGGGACACTGGGAGAATGAGAAACCTTAAAATCCCCCCACATTATTGATCCAGTGGAGGTAAGAGCTGCCCTGAGCCATCTCCCAGCTCCCATGGGAGCAGCAGAGAGGCTCTGTGGAAACTCCAGAGGCACAGGAAGGACCAGGACTGGGCACTTACTGGGAACAGCCATGCACTCCCCATCGTGGCTCCTCTTCGGGGACGCTCCTGGGCGCTCGTACTTGTGGGAAAAAGCAGAAGGAGGGTTTATAG